ATAAGACAGACCTTGCCATCATGATAAAGGGAGATAATTTATTAAAACAATAGCAGAACACATAAAACAATCTGAGAATGTTTATAATTTTGATTTTTACACATTTCCCACTGTGGAATTGGAAGATTCTAGGTCTTAGCCCTCTGTTGGCATTCTGTTGAGGTCATTTCTCACCCATAATTATTGTTCGGGCTTTGGTTAGTTTCTTTAACTTAAAGATGCAAAATCACTCGAGTGAACACTGATATTGCTCTGGGTAGAGTAATAACCTCCAACTCTTGGGCTTAAGCGATTCTCTTGCCTCAGCCTCCTAAATAGCTGGGACTACAAGCACCTGCCACGACACCTGGCTATTTATTTATTTATTTTTTGGTTGCAGTTGTCATTTTTTTAGCTGGCCCAGGCCGGGTTCTAACCTATTAGCCTTGGTGTATGTGGCTGGTGTGCTCTACCAACTGAGCTACAGGCGCTACCCTGAACACTGAACTTTTTTAAAAGTGCTTGCTAATAGTCATTTTCATACTATGATTTCAAGGCATTAAATTGTTTCATTGTGTGGAGAAAGAAGTTTGTGAGCCTGGCTTCCAGCATTCCTTCTCATAGAATTCATTGTGATTCATTTTCCATTTTCTGTTTCTGCTTTCCAGGGCTCATCCTGTCACATTTTAAAACTTTGTAACTCCTCTAATTAGAGGTGCCTTTTCCTCACAACTAACGGTGGCAATAATACATGGCAATATATATTCCTTAGAACAGTGGTTCTCAAAATATTCATGGATCTTTCCAGGGGTTCTAAAAGATTGAAACTATTTTCATAATACTATAAGGTGTTTTTTGCCTTTTCCTTTGTGTTGACATTTGTACAGATAGATGTTGCAGAAACAATGTTAGGTAAAACTACTGTGTGCCTTAGCATGAAATCAAGGCAGTGGTTTCAAACTGCTTCACTGTTGGGTACTGAACACAAAAAGCACAAAGTATGTTTATATATATATTAAAATATGTTGTGTATATACATACACCCAGATTTTATTTCACTTAACTTTCTGGATGAATCAGTAAAAATTGATAATTAATTAAATTCTGGCCTTGAGTTTAAGTTTTTAGACATAAAGTATTCGTGGCATGGTTTTGAGTTGCTAGCTGGATTAGCAGCTTTTTCTTTGAACATCCTTTTTACTTGAAAAGTGGTTATGGATAGCAGGTGTTTTCTTTAAGTGACAGGCTTCATTTTATATTCACCTCATTTACTACATTTTGGGTTTTTTTTTTGTTTTGTTTCTATGCGTTCAAGTTAACATTTTGTGTCCTTTAAAACAATTTTGTTGTCACTGATCTCCTTTGTGCTGTTATTTCATTTCTGTATGGTATAGGTCTAACAACACAATTATGAATGTATTGTTTATATACTTGTTCTAGAGGACATATGCATAATATTGTCTTTATAATTACTTAATTACTTTTACTGTTTTTGTGTGTGTGTGTGTGTGTTTGTATATGGATTTGAGTTTCCTTCTGAGTTTACTTTCAACCGTGAGAAAACTTTGTTTAGTATTGATTGTAAGGTGGCTAATAACAAATTCATTTTTTGTTACTCTGAGAGATTCTTTCTTTCTTTCTTATTTTTTGAGATACATTGAGGGTACAAAGAATTAGGTTAACTGATTGCAGTTGTTAGATAAAGTCCCTCTTAAATGGTGTCCTGCCCCCAAGAGGTGTGCCATACACTGTGACCCCTGGTCCCCCTCCCTGCTCCCCTTTCCTCACTTGCTCATTCCCTTAACACCCGCCCCCCCCCCCATCATCTCATCTACTGCTTTCATATAGAATAGAGTATACTGGATTATTGTTTCTCCATTCTTGTGATGCTTTACTAAGAAGAATGTGTTCCACCTCCATCCAGGGTTAATACGAAAGATTTAAAGTCTCCATCTTTTTTAGTGGCTGAATAGTATTCCGTGGTATATGTATACCATGACTTGTTAATCTATTCCTGGGTTGGTGGGTATTTAGGCTGTTTCCACATTTTGATGATTGTAAATTGAGCTGTGATAAATAGTCTAGTGCAAATGTCCTTATGATAAAAGAATTTTTTTTTTGTCTTTTGGGTAGATGCCTAGTAATGGGATTGCAAGATCAAATGAGAGGTCTAATTTGAGTTCTTTGAGGATTCTCCATACTTCCTTCCAAAAAAGTTGTATTAGTTTGCAGTCCCACCAGCAGTGTAAAAGTGTTCCCTTCTCTCCACATCTGTGCCATGTCTGCAGCTTTGAGACTTTGTGATGTGGGCCATTCTCACTGTGGCACATAATCATGCTGGTGGCTGGGAAGAATCAACATTGTGAAAATGTTTATACTACACAAAGCAATCTACAGATTTAGTGCAATCACCGTTCGAATACCATCATCATACTTTCGAGATTTGGAAAAAACAATTCTTTGTTTTGTACAGAACCAGAATAAACCCTGTATAGCCAAGGCAATTCTTAGTCATAAAAACAAAAGTGGGAGTATCACCATACTAGACTTTTGGCTATACTACAAGGCCATGGTGATCAAAATAGCATAGTATTAGCACAAAAGTAGAGACATTGACTTTTTTTTTTTTTGACAAAGTCTCACTCTGTCTCCCTGTTCCCCTCCACCTGCCTACCCCCCATAGTCCTGGGCTCATGTGATCCTCCTGCCTCAACCTTGGGAGTAGTTGGGACCACGGGTCTTTGCTACCATACTTGGCCTTGTTTTTCTGTTTTTGGTAAAGACAGGGTCTTGTTCTTGCTCAGGCTGGTCTTAAGCCATCCTCCTGCTTTTCTCTCTGGAGAGCTAAGACTACAGGAGTGAGTCATTGTACGCAGACTTCACCTTTATTTTTGAGACTATTTTGCTGGATGTAAGTAAGATTCTTGGTTGACAGGTGAACAGTTTTGTTTCTCCCCTTTCAGCACTTTGAATTGCTTTCTATCCTTCATTGTTTCAGAAGTTAACTGTTAATCTTACTGGGGTTTCTTTGTACATTTTGAGTCCTATTTCTCTTGGTGCTTTCAAGATTTTCTCTTTGTCTTTCAAGCATTTTTGCTATGATGTGGCTAGGTCTCTTTGTATCTAAACTACTTGGAGTTTGTTAAGGTTCTTGAGTGTGTAGATTAATGATTTTTAGCAAATTTGGGAAGCTACCAAATTTATTGGATATTGGTTATTTCTTTGGATGGCTTTAAAAGAAATTTTTTTCAACTGAAACTTTATTTATTTATTTATTTATTTATTTATTTATTTTTGGCCGGGGCTGGGCTTGAACCTGCCAACTCCGGTACATGGGGCTAGCGCCCTACTCCTTTGAGCCACAGGTGCTGCCCTGTTAGTCATTAAACTCCTGACTCCTCCTTCCTCCTAGCCTTTGTCCACCACCATTCTACCTTTTCTCTATGACTTTGACTGCTCTAGGTACTCAGTAAGTGGAATTACACAGGAGTTGTCCTTTTGTCTGGCTTATTTCACTTAGTGGAATGTCTTCACCCATAAATCCTGGGTTCTCTGGAAGGACATTCAAACAGGCAGGTGCTACTATTTCTCTTGAGCATGATTTATACCGAAATTTAATTTTCTTCAATCTGTAGAATTTCCCAGCTGTATTTTTAGGTATTCAAATTAGGCTTTCCTAATTCTTAGGTAATGAAACTTTTAACCTTTTTTTTAAACTTTATGTTTACTAAACTTTTTAGATGCTATTTTAGAATTATTGTCTATCTAGTTTTACATGTCATTGTATGTTCAATTAGTGATTAAAAAAGTGAAACCAAACAGTTGATTTGCTGGTATGCTGTGCTATTTATGGAGCGACTAATATATAAATTAAAATGTATTTTTGTTGTATATGATGTTGGCATTTTTCTTTAGAAAAATAAATGCTCTCATAATACACTTTTTAAATTTTCAGATTAATATGGGGGTACAATTAGGTTACCATGTTAACATTTGTTAGGTAAGGTTCCTGTTGTAGTTGTGTCCCGCACCTATGAGGTGTGCCATATACACTCTTACATTGTGCCCATTAAGTGAGAGCACATCAATCCCTGTCCGTCCTTCCCACTCCCCCTACTTGAATTGAGTTTTTTTCTTGTGTGGAGGTGTATTAGTTTGTCTACTGGCTTATTAGTATTAGTACATTGGATACTTGGTTTTCCATTCTTGTGATACTTTACTAAGAAGAATGTGTTTCAACTCCATGCTGGTTAATACAGAAGACGTAAAGTCTCTATTTTTTTTAATAGCTGAATAGTATTCCGTGGTATATATATGCCACAGTTTATTCATCCATCATAATAACACTTCTCACTTGAGTTTGATTTCATGAAATCAGTTCTCAATTTTTTTTAATTCCCAGTTTGCATACTTGATTGACTATAATGCAATCCCAACAATAAAAATAACTCAATTCAGTAATGATACCCTGTAGGGAGAGGGTCGTAACTGTCCTTCCAATGAGCGTAAATATGCCAAATTACTCCCAGAGTCACTGGTTGGTGTGTCTTAACTGCATGTGGCATAATTAAGGGATTAAAATTTAATTCATTTATTTTCTTTATCTAAACCTACTGATGAGATTTAAGGCATTCTTTGCTTATGACCATGGCCTATCTCAGCTTAAAGCTGTTATTTTGATGACAACTGTCCTGAATATGTTATCTTAGAGCAGTGGTTCTAAGCCTGTGGGTTGTGACCCTTTTGTAACAATGGAAATACATTGTGGCATTAGGAAGGTTGAGAACCACTGTCTTAGAGTGTTTGCTGAAATTTGGCATCACTTGGATTAGGCAGTGAGTGAGCATTTAATCTTTGTTTGGAAAGTATGTGTGATTTGAAGTAATTTTTGTATTTTCCTTCAATTTAAGGTTTGTAACAAATGAAATTTTTTGACTAACATATGAAATATCTCATTGGTAAAGTAAATTCTGCAAATAAGGTTTATACGTGGTCTTTTTTTTTTTTTTTTCCCTAAACAGAGACTCTACAGGAGCAGGTAATTCACTGGTCCACAAGCGGTCTCCTTTACGTCGAAACCAAAAGACCCCTACATCCTTGACCAAGCTGTCTTTACAGGATGGACAAAAAGCCAAAAAGCCAGCATGTAAATTTGAAGAGGGTCAGGATGTCCTAGCTAGATGGTCAGATGGCTTGTTTTATCTTGGAACTATCAAAAAGGTAAGTTACCTAATGTATCTTTTGCTGTTTTCTTCAGTAAAGTTTTAATAACCTTAAATTTAACCTTATGTTTTTAATTTTAAAAGATCACTGTTAAGTATTTCTCTGTATTGCAGATAAACATATTGAAACAGAGCTGCTTCATCATATTTGAAGACAGTTCTAAATCCTGGGTTCTCTGGAAGGACATTCAAACAGGCAGGTGCTACTATTTCTCTTGAACATGATTTATACAGAAATTTAATTTTCTTCAACTTGTCACATTCTGGTGTTGTCTACTGAGTATTAGTTTCAAGGAGAGGTTGTAAACATCAGCATTAGCCAGGTGTTGTGGCTCACACTTGTAATCCCAGTGACTAGGGAGACTGAGGTGGTAGGATCACTAGAAGGCAGGAATTTAAGATCACCTTAGGCAGCATAACCTTACCCTATCCTGGTTAAAAAAAAAAAAAAAAATCAACATGGTCTTTAAGGAGCTATAATCTGTATTATAGATCATAAGAACATCAAGGATACTCTTAGAGTAGAGGTAGACAGAAGGACAGATACGATACATCACTGACTCAGACCTATAAATTATTGTTAGGACCCTTCTAAGAACTTTGAAAAAAATTTTTAGCCACAGTGAGTAGCCATTTGGGATTCAGTTTTAACTGTTACTAGCCTATATTTGTCCAAAACAACGTAGAAAGCAAATATGTATTTAAAACATACTATTTGCCAGATGATTGGGAAATTAGAATTGTACTGAACTGTTTTAGAGTAATATAATTATTCATCTATAAAAATACTTAAATTGTCATTTAATTATGGTTTTTATGCTTAGATGCGAAAATGAGGTTATATTGATTGGGTAGAAGTAAAAATACATGTGTTCCTTGGTTGGTTATAGATATATTTCTGGTGATGATTTTGATGATTTTCATTATTACAAACTGTAAATGCTGTTATGTCTTTTCAATCTGTTAGATATAGGTGTTTTCCCATGTATTTCTTTCATACAAAGTGCTTCATTTATAAAAATATGAATATAAAAATCTGCGTATTTGAGCTGCTTATTAAAGACTTACTTTTGATTTTCCTTTTGCTGGGTTAATAAGCCTGTGCTAAGACTTGTGTTTTATGTCTCCTCTTATAGAAAAGAGATATAAATTTTCTCTTGAAAGGTAGACATATTTCTCAAGTATTTAAGTGATTGAGTTTTATATTTGAATCCCCAGTGCAACTTTGTACTAGGTTACTACTATTTTCTATTTCTTGATTTTACTTCTAATATTTCTCAAAGAACAAAGAAAGTTTTGGTAAAGAAATTAGAATGTTGTAATTACAATCTATATAGTTAGTACTCAGGGTTTAAGTAGGGAACTCCAATAAAATGTTTTTCCTTTTTTTTTTATCTGATAAAGGACTTTTATTCAGAATAAAATGTTTTTCTAGGGAAATAATTTCTGGGACTTAATCAGTTTAAAGGATTGAAATTATGTTTTGAATCTGATGTTGAGAGGTCAATGAGAAAAGTGTGACTTAGAAAATATAAAGAGAGAGATTTATATAGAGTGGACATAAAGTTTATGTACAATTGCATGTCCACCCTGTATATCATGTTAAGACTATTCATCAATTTAAAAGGGTTTTAAATTTTAACACCTAATGCTATTTTTGTTTCTGTGAAATAATACACTGCTGCATTGCTGGTGGCAATGTAAATTTCTATTTTAGTTATTACTTTAGCACTTGCATGAAATATATTAAAATGTTCATATTGTTTAATCTGTCCAACAAACCCATTTCTAGCATTTTATTCATAAGATAATTTAAAATTAAAAACCTAATGAGAAATGTTTGCTGAGATTTATTTTAACAATTACACAAAAATTGATATTTCTAATATAATATGACCAAGATTTTCTAGTCAGTTGGATTTTGAATAAGGGAGACGATAAAAGGCCACTAAGCTAAGTAGCAAGGTTCTTATAAACTTGATGGTAAGAAAGATGTACTTGAATTTTACAGGTAATTTGTTATTCATTAATTCGTTTGGGCACAGTGGCTTAAGCATATAATCCTAGCACTTAGGGAGGCCAAGGTGGGAGAATTGCTTGAGGCCAAGAGTTTGAGACCCCATCTCTACCAAAAAGAAAAAGAAAAAATAGAAAACAGAAAAATTAGCCAGGTATGGTGGCGTGTGCCTCTAGTCCCAGCTACTTGGTAGGCTGAGGCAAGAGTACAACTTGGACCCAGGAATTGGAGGTTGCTGTGAGCCATGATGATGCCAGTACATTCTAGCTGGGGAGACAGAGCAAGACCCGTCTTCCTCAGGATTGTTTCCTGAGGTGAATACATACTGTTTGTTTGATCAGTACCCAATTTTCTGAGGAACTCTCTTCCCCTTCCCTAGTCTACCTTGTTATTTAAATTTGTGGGAGTTAGGTCAAGCACTTACCCTGGGCTGGGACTGTCATTCCCTTTCCTGAGAATGGCAGATTTGCACGGAGAATTCCCAAGCTCAGCCCAGCTGGAGCCATAAACCCACAAGCTATGGGAGGCCACATCCTACCATGCATACCGGGAAGCAAACAAAGAAGGGGAAAGAGGACAAGAGACCAAAACAAACAAATAAATAAGCAAAGATACAAAAATCAAGCCAAAAAAATTGATGACCCATATGTCTAAGAATGGAGGAATAGTGAATTAAAATTGGTTCTTTTCACTAGATGGAATACTATGCAGCTATTACAAGTTATAATTTTGAAAACTGGCTGTGTGAAAAATGCTTTTGATAGAAGAAATATTACATAGTACTGATAAAAGGAAGCATATTGTAGTGGAGAGAACATGGATTCTGGCACAGTGAGGATTGAATCCTAGCTTTGATACTTCTGAGGGCCTTTGGATTAGTTACTTTTATCTATCTGAGCCTCAATTCTTTTCTTTAAATAGTACATTTATCTAATAAGTTAGTTGTAGAGTTCAATAAAATGTGTCAAGAGCCTTTTTGGCCTGTAGCACATAATTGTAAGTTTGTGTTATTGTTGGTTTATGAAAAAAGTTTGTGCATTGTGATTTTGAGTATATTGAAATATTCAAGACAAGAATGTTGGAAAGGATAGTTGTGTTAGTGTATCCTAAATTTTGTATAATGATTATTTTTTTAGAATAAAACGTTTAAGAAAGAAATTATTTACTTGTTCAGGTAAAAAATATAATTATGGCACTCCCAACTTTT